ATGCCTGCCAGGTTTCTGGGAGACGTTTCAGGGGTGTCACGGGAGTAAGTTCTCTTGGGATCTGAGGATTAAAGCCACACAGACAAACCAAGTCAGTGCCTGTGTGAGCTCCCCAAACAGGTTCCAAGCAGCCAGAGTCTGGGCTTTTGAGTGACTGTGATTTATTATGTGTTGTCGGTTTCCATGGTGCTGGGGGGTCAATCAGAAACATTCATTTTGCTGAACTACTTCAGAAAAGTTTGAGTTTGGTGTCCTGTCCTCATCCCCCCCTCCCCGCCCCCAGTGTCATTGTGTTGTGCTCAGATACCTTTGCTGAGGGCTCTACATCTTTGTATTAAAATACTTCCCCAAACCGAATTAAAATTTTAAATGTTAAGAGTCAAATGAGCCGTTATATGAACTGTCATGGGCCCTATGGAATCTGTCTTATCAGTGACTAATCGCTGGTTTGGAGCTTGGACTCTGTGTCTCCAAGAACATAGATGTGAAAATGCCAGCCAGGTCACATGGCATTCTTGCTTTCAAGGGAAAATGTAACCTGAATTCTAAGGACGGGCTGCGTTGTACCCCCTCCCCCCTCCCCTGCCGCAACCCTTCCCTCTTCCTTCCTCAGGAAGTGGTGAGTTCCCACCAGAGCAAAGGTGGCGACCATTTTCATGCAAGCAGTGGTAGTGGATTCGGTGCTTGCCTTTCAGGGCCTGTCTGTGTATGTTCCAGAATATTAGTAAGAACGCATGGTACCCCCATGTAGTACTTACCATAAAGTATCCATTTTTCTGTCATTTTGTTCACTGAGTGATTGCTGGATTCATTCATTCATTCATTCATTCATTCAGTATTATTTTAGGGTCCTTGGTTCAAACTTCGTGCCCACTGGAGAAAGTGTATATTGTTTTACATTTGTTTTGAGCAGTATGAGAGACTGCATGTGGGGGTGGGGTGGGGGTGGCGCAGAAGGCATAGTGATTAAATGAGTACCAGTGATATTACAAAAATGAATGACATTGTGAAAGAAAATAATTCTGAGGCAGTATTTCTTTAATTTTTATTGAATTTATTGGGGTGACACTGGCTAACAAAATTATACAAGTTTCATGTGCACAGTTTACAACACATCACCTGTACATTGTATTGTGCTTTCACCACCCCACATCAAGTCTCAGTCCATCACCATTTTTTCATCCCTACCCTCCTCCACTTCCCTCCACCCCTGCCCCCTCCCGCAATCACCATACTGTTGTCCGGATAGCTCAGTTGGTTAGAGCATCATCCTGATATGCCAAGGTTTCAGGTTGGATCTCAGGGCACATTCAAGAAGCAAACAATGAAAACATGAATAAGTGGGACAAATCTCTCTCTCTCTCTCTCTCTCTCTCTCTCTCTCTCTCTCTCTCTCTCTCTCCCTCCCTCCCTCCCCTCCCTCCCTCTCCCTCCCTCCCCCTCTCCTTTCCTTCCCTGTTCTCTGTCTCTGTCTCTCTATCTCTATCTCTATCTCTCCCCTCTCCAATCAATTAAAAAGATGTGTCAAGAATAAAAAAAAGTATTAGAGTTTTTAAAATTCAAAGTCTTTGAGTTTTTCTTCATGAGGAATTTGATGAGCTTTTGATATTTAAATAGAAACACACACACAAATTCACTAATCCCATTCATCTCCCAAAGGCCCCACCTCCTAATACCATCATCATCTTGGGGGTTAGGATTTCATCATATGAATTTGGGGGGATACAAACATTCAGGCCATAGGACAGAGTTTTATTCCATTTATGAATATACTATAATCTGTTCATCCATTCTATTCTTGGATCTTTGCATTGTTTCCAAATTTGGGTTAGTATGAATCAGTCCACTGCTGCAAACATTCTTGTGCGTCTTCTTGTGGACATATACAGTGATTTGTCTTGAGTATAGAGTGGTGTGTGTTTAACTTCATTAGAAACTGCCAATAGTTTTCCACAGTGGTTGTATCATTTTCTAGTTGCTTCTTAGGCTCTTGAACAGTCCTATTTTTAGGCTCACTTTCTTTTCCAGAAGTATATGCAGCTGTAAGAACATTTGGAGATTCTGAGGAGTAAATCCTGTTAAGTTCTGGCTTTTCTCATTGATATTGTATGATTCACTTTTCTCAGGACTGTTGAGTCAGTTCGCACTTGCCCGTGGCTTTCTAGTTTCTAAAATGTTGTTGCTGTTTTCCCATTTGCTCTGTTTTTATGGATTTCTGCATTTAAAATTTTCCCTTTACTGCCATTTTAATGTGCTTTCAGGAATTAGAAGGACTAAATGCTTATGTTCAATGCATCATTTGAAAGCTATTTATTTTTTAACTACTCTATCTTCATGGGATTACTGGAATAATTTATTAATTTAAATATGCATAGTTGAGTTTCAGTTGCATCTTGGACTTGGAGCACTAGGGGAATAAGCAAAATAAAAGTGCTGGGCAGTGGGAAAGGTCAACCTATTTAGAGAATGAAATCTTGTCTCATAAAAGACATTGAATAATACCAAGCAGTTACAGGCATAATTACTTAAGGCTGTTATGTGATGGGGATTATGAGGGACTTTTAGCAGGTAGGAATAGGCAAATTGAAAATGTTGTTTCTTCTTGATAGCCTCAGGCTCCACAAATATTCTTTTTTCGCCCACAAATATTCTTTTATTGGGTCATTTAATTGAAATCTGGAATGAACAGAAGGCACAATTGCAAAAGGTCAGATTTGAGATGAATTCCAAATACTGACTTGAAGAACATAATACCTTTTGCATCAAGCTGCCTGATATATAAGTATCATAAAATACTCAAGGTTCAAGTTATTGCTGGAAGTGTTCCACTGTCAGTTTGTTCTCCTGTTGTTGGATATTTGAGTTCTTTTTATTTTTTGGTCTAATATGAATAAAGCTGCTGTAAGTCCTTTTGTGGGCAGTTGCATATTTTTCTCTGGGTCTATTTCTGGGAGTGGAATTGCAGGTCATATGGTAGGTATATATATTCAGAATTTTTAAAAATTAAAACTATATTTTAGAATAATTTTAGATTTACAGAAATTTTGTAAAGATAGTACAGAGAGGTCCTATAACCTCATACCCAGTTTCCCCTATTATTTTTTAAATCTTTACTGTTGAGAGTATTACAGATGTTCCCCCCTTTTTCAGTTTTCCCTATTATTGACACAATTAATGAACTAAAGGTACATTAGTCACAATTAATGAACCAATATTGGTATGTCATTGTCAACTAAAATGTTTACTCTCCAGGTGTCCTTAGCTTATACCTAATGTCCTTTCTCTGTCCAGGATCCCACCCAGGATGCCTTGTTACATTTCGTTGTCATGTCTGCAACCGTTTCTTAGACTTTCCTTGATTTTGATGTTCTCTGCTGTTTTGAGGAGTCCTTGTCAGGCACTTTGTAGAACGTGCCTCAGTTGAGATTGTCTGCTGTTTTTCTCGTGAACAGACTGAGGATATTATGAATGCTGGGCAGGAAGACTATAGAGGTAGAATGCCATTTTCATCATATCAGATGAAGGGTGCATACCATCAACAGGACGTATTAGTGATGTTAACCCTGGTCACTGGGTTGATATTGTGTTTGTCGCGTTTCTCCCCTTGAAAGTTACTTCCCCTTGATCCTTTTCAGCCCACGTTTATGGTATAGGGAGTTGAGGGTGGAGTATACCCATAAATTATTTGGAATTCCTCTGCATGGGAGATTTATATTTAATTCTTAAGCAATTGAAAAACAGTTTTCTAAAGCGGTGGTACATTTTATACCCGGACAGGCGATGTCTGAGTATCCACGTGCTCCTCATTCTCACCAATACTTACTGTTGTCCATCTTTTTTATTTTAACCATTCTTGTTGGTGTAAAGTAGTTCTCATTATAGTTTTAATTTGCACTCATGATCATTAATGATGTGGACACCTTTTCATGCTCTTATTGGTCAGTCCTGTATCTTCTTATGTCAAATACATGCTCCAGTCTTTTGCCCAGTTTTGTTTGTTTGTTTGTTTGTTTTAGCTAATGGTAAAGTGCCTGGGGCAGGGAGGGGGGAAGGGGAAAGGGAAGGCACGGCCAGGCATGCTGCCGGGAGGGAGAGCACCTGCCCAATTTTCCCTTTGGGTTGTCTGCTTTCTATTTTGAGCTGAGGATAATCTGTATATTCTGGAAAAGGTTCTTTGTTCAACATATGCATGATATATTTTCTCCCAGTCTGGGGCTTGCGTGTTGACTCTTTAAATTGAGTCATTTGATGAGCTGGACCTACGATTTTAATGATAAAGTTTGGGGTCTAGCGTTGGGAGATGGACTCTCACCCATTTTACATCTGCTGCTGCTAAGCCTTAGTTAGGAAGATTAGTGGTGTGCTTTCTTTTCAAAGCATCTGATGTTGCGGTAGATACAGCAGTGGTTACTGGCGCAGTGGTTACTGGTGCCGCTCTGTCTGACCACTGATTGGGTGAAGGGTTTGAGGGGCAACCGAGGGAAATTCCAATCTTATCAGGAGAGGCGCAGCCTGTGTCACACACAACTGCAAAAGGCCTCATCTTTATTGTCACTTGTATACTACAATTTCTGGCTAGTAATGGCTCTGAGCTTCTTGATTTCCCTGGGTTCCATTTATATTCTAGAATGCTCCATTTGTCTACTTATCATTGATTCTGCAAACCTCAGGAAAAATAACAACGGCTCAAGGGGAAAATCACTATTGCTTATTGCACTGTACAGATAAAAGATAGGGGCAGAACTCCCTTAACTGAAAAGAGGGGGGCGGGGGGATAGGGACATGGAATTGTTGAGAACATTTGAAAGGCACTGGCATTCCTGAGCACATTTTAAACATTCTAAAAAGTGGGGGGAAGTTTTTGAAACTAAAGCCATGGTTCTGACTTTAAAGAAAATGCTTCCTCTAGGAAGAGAATGTGAGTTTGTTTTCTTCAGATAAAATCCTCTCTGAACTTAGCTGTCATCTTTTTCTAACTACCTATTTTCTTGTCATTTCAGGTCAACCTCTTCGTGCTGCTCTCTGTGGTGTGTGTCCTCTTAAATCTCGCCGGGTTTATCCTGGGCTGCCAAGGGGCCCAGTTCGTGTCCAGCGTGCCCAGGTGTGATTTGGTAAGCAGTCCCGAAATGCCACTGTGCACTGGGCTGACCCGCCTGTCTGGCTCACATTGGGTGCCAGTGTGTAGCTGGCAACATGGATGCACCAGGCAGCCTCTTAAAGTGAAACCCGAGGTTGGTAAAAGGAAGCTGTCTGCTAATTATTTTACTCAGGTTGTCAGTTATTTTGTTCTAGGCAAGGGCCAGCCAGCAGAACCCCAAACCCCAGTAATACAGTGCATCGTTAGTTAACTGGTAGATTAGGTATCTCCTGTCAGTATCTATCTGCACTCATCTAAAGAGGAAAAATGGGTATTATCAGAATACAAGTCAGCAGGCCTTTACGTATCCACAACCTTTGGAGGCCAGGTGCGTTTCAGATTTCAGAGTTTTCCCAGTTTTTAGAAGATACATGTGACATATAGACTATTTATTCTGTAGTGCCCCAGTGGAATCTGGGACAGCGGCTGTAATATAAACTTTTAAGGTTTCAGAATTGAGTATAAGAGGTTGTGGACCTGTACCATCTCTGAAGTTTTTTATAACTTTTAATTGTGGTAAAATACACATAACATAAAATTTACCATCCTAACCACTCAGTAGTGTTATGTACATTTACACTGTTGTTCCACTGATCTCCAGGCCTCTTTCCATCTTGCAAGACTGAAGCACTTTTCCCATGAAACGGTAACTCCCCGTTCCTCTTGCCCCCCACTCCCAGCCCCAGGCAGTCACCATCCTACTTTCTATGAATTTAACTACTTCAGGTACCTCATAGGCGTGGAATCATACAGTATTTTTTGATTGGCTTATTTCACTTAACACAGTAATCTTAAAGTTTATCCATATTGTACTTACTGTGTGTCAGAATTTTCTTTCCTTTTAAGTGTGAATAATATTCCACTCTATGTGTATAACACGTTTTGGTTATCCACTCATTCATCGATGGATGACTTGGTTGCTTCCTCCTTTTGGTTATCGTGAATAATGTTGCTATGGAAAAAGGATGACAAATATCTGTATGAAACCCTGCCTTCCATTCTTCGGGGTATATACCCACAAGTGAAATTGCTCGTCATCTCTGAACTTTTCAAAAGGACTTTGTAGTAACAAATGTCTCCCTGTGACATGAAGCAAAGCAAATACAAGGACTTTTTTAGAAGTTGTATTAAATCTCATCTATTTGGAACTTGGTTACCAGGCAGTCTCACCCTCTCAGGCTTTTGAAACCAGCCAGATACAACCACATCCTCCAAAGGCTGTGCTTAGTCCCTCGCAGGGAAACTCACGACCTTCCTAAACAGGAAAGCTCCTTGGGAACTCCTGCAAGCCTGCTGCTCCCACTGAACAGCCCTTTGGATTTTTGTCATGTAATCACTCAATAACCTTAAGTTTTGGGGTCGCAGGCTCACAGCCTTTTCTGATTTTGACGGCCCTCTGCGAGTCACCCCATCCTTCCTGCTCACTGCAGCTGCCCAGTCCCTATAGTTGAGCTGAGCCTGCAGGTCATTACCCAGGCTCCTGCCCTACTTCCTGTTTCTAGCTATGCTGCCTCTCCCCCTCAAATTCCCTACCCCTTACTTCCCCGTTCATCCAAGTGTCATCAGTCTTCTAAAGCCTCATTCGAAGATTTTCTCCTTCAGGAAATAGTCCATGGTCCCCCCACAAGATCATCTTCCAGAATGTCCTAGCTGTACACGCCTATGCATGTATTCTTTTCTTTTTGGGGATAAAGATATTCATACACGTGTCTTCTCTCTTTTTCCAGTAGGAATGTCTATGGTTTTCTATTTCCTTGGGAGTTTTCAGCAGCCTCCTAAACATTCCTTTAGATAGAGAGAGTTCCCAGAAAAAAAATTTGAACAAAGCTTAATTTTTCTCATTACCGATCACACAGCAAATTAGAAGGGGCAAATAGAGTAGATACAAGCTGGAAGTGAAAAGTCACAATATATGGAAAGACAGTTGGGTAAGATTGTAGCATCTGTTCCATGCCAGGCCCCATGCTAGAGGCTGCAGAGAGAAGAAAGAAAAGTCGGACATCGCTTCTGACCTGTAGTTAAAGCAAGAGCAAGAGGAGTAGGATTCGCATGCAAATGCTTGGTCCGTGTTCACTGAGGGAATGAATAGACGCCCAACTGCAGAGCAGGGTAGATGTTCAGCCATCAGTGAGACACCGTTCTAGGGGATGCAAAAGAAGGGCTTGCACCCATGGGAAGATGGGGAGGGCCACCCGAATATAGACATTTGAGATGGACCTTGAACAATGAACCAGTAGAGGGAGTGGGTAGAAACCAGGTTGGGAGGACGGTGGTGAGAAGTCAGCCTCGTGGCTCCATCACTGGTAGCTCTGGAGAAAACAGAAGCCAGATTGTAGGGGTTAAGAGTACAGATGGTTGACTTTTCTGAGAAGTTTTGTGGTTCTCGACCCTGGCCCAGTAGAATAACCTGGGGGAACTTTAAAAAATATACCCAAACTTGGCTCCCACATCCAGAGATTCTCAGTTGCCCTGGAGTGGGAGTCTGGGCATGAGTATTTCTTAAAGCTTTTCAGTGTATGCTTATTTTGAAGCATTTATCTCACCACAGAACCAACTCTGTGATTGTTTCTGATGATATAATTATAAAAAGTTGAACAAGCCATAAAAGTATAAGACAGAATGTAAAAAAAATTATTTGAAATCTTACTATTTGGGGATAGAACAGCGAACTACTTGATAACTTTATTTTGCTGTCATTCTATGCGTGAAACACATAATTTTCCATCAGTGGAGCCTTATAATTGTTTTTCACTAGTGAGGCTATTTGACAGATGGAGGCTTTGCGGGGAGGGAGGTGCTCTCCTTCCTCCTTCCCTCTCCACCCACACCCGCCACCCCAAGTCCATGGCAACAAGCCAGGAAGTTCCCTTTCATGTTCTCATGCTCATTACATACATGTGTATAGGGTGGGGTTATTCAAAATGTACTTTTCTTTTTTTTTAATATATTTTATTGATTTCTTACAGAGAGGAAGGGAGAGGGATAGAGTTAGAAACATCGATGAGAGAGAAACATCGATCAGCTGACTTCTGCACACTCCCTACTGGGGATGTGCCCACAACCAAAGTACATGCCCTTGACCGGAATCGAACCTGGGACCCTTCAGTCCACAGGCTGACGCTCTATCCATTGAGCCAAACCAGTTAGGGCTCAAAATGTACTTTTCAAAAATGGGATATATTGTATCTACCCGCCTGCATATTTGTTTTTCTCTCACTTAAAGATATAAGAGATGGAGAGAGGAGTAGGTTAGTTCACTGTTTTCTTGTCTGTGGTGGTCTGGCTTCGGCCACTAGGAACAGTGCTGCCTGTCCCTGTGGGCTTTTCCTGAGTGGGGCAGGTTCCCAGGACAGCGGTTGTTCTGCTTGTCTTATATTTTGTTACACATATGACCATTTGATGACTTTATTCACTATTTTTTTTAAATTGAGGTACAATTTACAGACAGTGAAATGCACAGATCTTATGTGTGCAGTTCATTGGGTTTTGATCAGTGCATACATACTCATCTTAACAAACACGCTCGTGTATACACCCCGTCAGGATCCAGAACATTTATTTTAGTGCCCCAGGAAGTCCTGTGGTCTCCTCAGGCAGCCTCTACTCTCTCTTAGGCAACCATTGCTCCAGTGTCTTCCAGAGATTAGTTTTGCCTGTTCTTGAACTTACTATAAGTGGAGTCATACAATATATGCCTTTTTGTGTCTGACTTATTTTGCTCAGTATGAAAAATTTTGAGATTTATCCTTTATTTTTCCAGAGCAGTATGTCACTGTATAAAAACACTACAACTTATTTTATCCACTCTCCCGTTGATGGACATTTGGGTTGTTTCCAGTTGGGAGCATTATGAACAAAGCTATTATAAATATTTTTTTCTAGTTATTTTTTTGTGTGGACCTGGTTTCATTTCTCTTGAGTAAAAAAAAAAAAAATATATATATATATATATATATATACAAACAGAGGTAGAACTGCTGGGTTATGAAATAAATGTATGTCTAACTTCATAAAAAACTTCCTAAATAATATTTTGAATTTAAAATATATAGCAGTTCCTGTAATAAAGGGCTTCAGCTCCCATTTCTCCAGTGACCCTCCTCCAGCAACAAGTGTCTTTCATTTTTTTGCCAGTCTCCTGGGACTGAAGTAGATCTCCTCCTTACTTTCATTGGCTGTTCCTTAGTTGCTAAAGATGCATCGCCACTTTTTAGGCAGCTTCCCAGAAATTCTGATGTGCAGTGAGGGTTGAGAACCACAGTACTGGTTGATGGCGGGAGGAAGGAGTAGATCTAACAGCCAGTGTCAAGGCTGAAGGATGGATGTTGTTCACTGAGGGTTGGGGATACTTGACCAGGTTTGTGTGCAGGTAGGTTAAAGAGATTGAGGAGAAGTTAGAGTACGTTTTTAGAAACCTTGGGCAGACATGGGATTAGGAGGGGAGGTGAAGGATCAGGACCAGGGAGAACACAGAATACAAAATGCACAGTTGTCTGGAATCATTTTGCACAGAGTCATTGGGCTTCTTGTATCAGCTGGGCACAGTCATTGATATTTATTATTATTTGCAGAACGATTAAACTTTCAAATAGTCTTGTTTAAAGGGATTAACCTTCACACATCTGGAAAATTTTACCATCCACACTGGCTCACCCCAAAGGTTTCTGTATATTTGAATGTTGGGCGTTGTGTGAATAATGCAGCCGTGTGCGTAGCCCACACAGGCCTGGTTTCTCTCTTAACGGAATGCCTTATATCAAGAATGGACTTGTGGGAAGGGAGTACTTGATAAAATGACACCTCGTCTTACCTGAGGGAGGCAGAATCCTTCGATAAGATCTTGAGAATTACAGAAGTCCAGGAAATAGAAATTGCACTGTGTCATGTTGGAAAAAGTGAGCTCGGGTCCTGCTTGGGGAGGACAGGGCCTCGTGTACATGGGCAGAGTGGAGACGCGCACAGAATGTATCATCTCTGCTGGCTGCTTGTTGGTTACTACTAAACAGTGCTGCCTGCACTGAAACAGGAAGCTACCAGCTGGAGACTTTAAAGGAGGAAGACCATTGAGAGTAATATTTACCTGCAGAATTTAATTATGGGAGAGGGGCCAAGAGACAGCCAGCGATCCCCAAGAGGAAAGGAAAGTTCCAACCTACCTAGACCCAGACCCAGCCTAGAGAAATCCTGTCCGAAGAGCCACAGTGGTTTTTCCCTTCGAAGGCAATAATCCAGGATGCATCTTCAACAATGTGAGATGGAAGAAGAATTCAAATACAGACAGCTTAGTGCCTGTGTGGGGGGGGGTGGGGGTGGGGTGGGGGTTGGTTGGGGGGGTGTGGACTCAGGTGTGAGGGCATTGCTGAGATAATCTCTGTGGACAAACTAGGGAAGGAAAGAAACCAAATGGGAATGAATGGACAGATGATGGAGTCCATCAAGGTAACTTTGGTTGTAATCCATTGTATCACAGGCATTTACGTTAAAATCTGGGCATCAGTGTTTGATATAATAATGCATCCTTTCAATGTGGTTTAAGGACAAGGAATCTATGGAGTTCTGGAAGAGGCAAAACTAATCTGTGTAGAAAAAAAATCAAAACCTTGGTTGCCTTTAGAAGGGTGTGGGCAGGGATTGATGGGGAAAGGGGCGTACTCTCATGGTCATGTTCTCTATGTTGATAGGGTTTGGGTGACTCAGGTGTATGCATTGTTCAAAATTCCTTGAATGGTATGCTTAACATTTGTGTATGCAAATTTTGTGTGTACATAAATTTTCAAAAAAAGAAAAACTATAACCAAATAAAAAAAAAAATGCAATGTAATCCAGTAGTGGAATTTTTCCTTTAGCTTCCTAGTCAAATTTTTCCTACTTTTCAAAACTAGTGTGAAATTTATTACTATGGCTAGAGGGTAAAAATCTTAATTGAATAAGAAAATTTTGTTTTCTGATCATTGAAGTTATCACTTCAAATAAAATATTGAAGATGTGAACTAAGAGATCTCTTTAAGTACACATGGTTTAGGGATACTGTTCACCAGAATGTACCATCTGCTTGTTATAGGCACATGGTAGACTGAGCTTCCTTGCCCTCTTGGAGTTCGGTGGGGACAAATTAGGTAAAGGGTTGAGTGTCATTGCCAAGAGGAAGATTTATGCTAGGGTTACCAGATTTAGCAAATAAAAATACAGGACAGAACATTAATTACATTTGAATTTAAAATAAACAGCTAATAGCTTATGCTATAAACATGTTTCATGCAATATTTGGGACATACTTATACTAAAAAATGGTCTATTATTTTTTTCAAATTTAACTGGGTGTCTTGCATTTTATCTGACAACCTACTTTAAATGCCAATATGCAATTTATCTTGTGTTCTCCATTTCTCTGACACAGCAATGATTAATCCTGAGATGGTAGATACTCTACCAACCTGGGTCTCTAAGTTAATTTGATGAGCAGAGTCCCCTGATGACCTAAATGGACATGTAGCATATTCAAGAAATAACCTTGTTTGGTTAAGCCACTGGAAATTGGGGGCTGGTTGTTAGCACAGCACACCAGAGCCTGTCCTGACTGATACAGACTCTGCCTGACCCTAAACCCTGCCTTAATCTCATTCTGTAGGATTGGTGCTCCATGGTGTCGCCTGTGTATTTTTTGTTAATAATGAAATTATTATTCTGCCTTTTCCCCCTGAAGGTGGACTTAGGTGAAGGCAAGATTTGCTTCTGTTGTGAAGAATTTCAACCAGCCAAATGCACAGACAAAGAAAATGTCTTGAAACTCTTCCCGGTTCAGCCTTGTAGCGCGGTTCACCTTCTACTTAAGGTATTTTGAATGAATTTCATAGCCCAGCAATGAAAACACTATAGAGCCCCGAAAAAGCAAAGTTCCTTGTTACCTCCCTCAAATAGCTATGTTGCTGAAAGCTGTGTGAACAACCGCTCATCGGTGACTCAGAGACAGAATTGAACACAGAAAGAGTCACATATTATTGTGTGTCTCTTACATTGTGTATGGACAGCTTTCTTTGTGTTCAAGAATTATAAAATAGTAAAAAAAATGTAAAGGAGTGTGTGTGTGTGTGTGTGTATGTATGTATATATATATATGTATATACACACACACATATACATATGCATATACATATACACATATGATATAGCTTTTAGCAAGCCCTTTAAATTGCTTCCCATTTGCCATTGTTCTGATGCTCCTAGGTCGGTGTAAGTGAATCTTGTGGGCTGTTGAGTGCTATCGTTCTGGGACACACACTTAGGAGAGATACTGGCCGGAAGACACAGGAGAAATTCAAGCACTTTACCTCTCATTTCATAGGCAACAACTATAATAAGCAAAAGAGATGAAAACCAAATGATCCCAGTTGAAGACAAATACAAAATTAACCTTTATTAGGGAGTTGGATAAAAATGGTGTTCTGACTGAAGGTCCATAGCCCAGGGAGTGACAAGAGCAGTTGGTGAAGTGGGCGGTACTAGCTTTTGGATAGTCTGCCACTCATGGCTTTCTTTAGTTAGGTCTTTGTTTGGAGTTTATTTTGGGGGGAGGAGGAATCTCCCAGCAGTGGAAGAAGCTGCCAGTTCTCTGGATTATGCAGGATGTAAAAACGACTGCTTTCTTTGGCTTCTGGAGTTTTGGTAGCTGAATCACCCCCAAACTTCCTGAGCCAGGACTTAGCTTAGGGAAAACCCCACTAAGGAGCCAGGACTGTGGCAACAGAAACTTGGAATCGCCTCTGCTGCTATTCTGAGATGTGTGTTTAGAGGAGAGAAGCCCTGTTTACACTCGGGCGGCCTCCCCCCTCCCTTGTCCCAGTTGTGTGCCCTGGGCAGCTCTGCCATTAGCTCCTGAAATAGAATCAGTGGCCACAGATGCAGCAGCAAGCTGTCCTGGTGCAAGGCTGTGGGAGGGGGAGGCTGGGAATTAATGTCACGGGAAACTCCAACTTCAGAAGAGAAACTCACTGCTTTCCTGGAGGGAATGTTTCCATACGGTGTCCTGATGCTTGCAGAGAGAAATAGTGCGGCATATGGTCTTTCTGGGACAGGAAGCTTCTCAGATAAGTTTTTAAACTAAGAAGTACACACCATTGCGTGAATCATAATTACCAGCATTAAAAAAATCCTCACCTGAGGATATGTTTACTGATTTTAGAGAGAGAGGAAAAGAGAGAGAGAGAAAGAGAGAGAGAAACATCGATTGGTTTCCTCTGGACTCATCCCTACTGGGGATAAAACCCGCAACCTAGGTATGTGCCCTGACTGGGAAATCGAACCCAGAATGTTTTGGGTGTGCGATGCTCCAACCAACTGAGCCACCTGGCTGGGCACACTAGCATTTTGGGGGGCCTTTACCATGTAATTCCTTTACATGACTTTTCTCATGGGAATCACCTTACTGGGACAGGGCAGTGTTATTAGTTATGTTTAAAAGTTTTTATATTGCATTCTGGTCACCTGCTTTAAAGTGCTCAGTGACGTCTCTGTTTCCTTGTCCCAGAAAGTCCTTTTTGCCCTGTGTGCCTTGAATGCCCTGACCACCACCGTCTGCTTGGTGGCCGCCGCCCTGCGCTACGTCCAGATCTTTGCCGCCAGGAGGTCCTGCAGCGTAAGTCCCCGCGAGGTGGCACCGCCACTGTGATTCTGCGGAACCGCCCAGGCCTTTTCTGTGCGGGTTGCTTACCACACCCCCCCCCCCCCCCGAGCCTCAGGGGTGCAGGCGGCTGACTAATGCGGTGTTGTTTCATTAGGATGAATCCCAGATTTCTGCCGAGGAAGTGGAAGAACAGGGACGCATCCCAGACCCCGACGACTTCGTGCCACCGGTGCCCCCCCCTTCCTATTTCGCCACATTCTACTCCTGCACACCCCGGATGAACCGCAGGTGCCATTTCTAAGCCCCCACCCCACCCGGTTCTCTGAGGGGTGCTCTTAGTTTTGAGGACTGGAGCCCTGGACTTTTCTCCTAAATCTGGACAGATTGTGTTATTTGGGGGGATTTTAAAATTTATTTCCTTCTCTCTCTCTCTCTCTCTCTCTCTCTCTCTCTCTCTCTCTCTCTTTCTCTTTGATAAACTGCATGAAACCAAAGAAAAGTCAGACCTTGACCTAAGGATATACTTTTTCAATTTCAATTAGCTTCCCAGGAAAACTGACACCCAGGGAGATAACAGCTGTAATTTGACATGATTGAGAGCTGCGTTGCCCTGGAAACGTGCTCAGTTAGGCCAAATTGATGTTCATTATAACACCATCAGCAGGCCCCCAAATCATGCAGTTCTTCCCAGCCATTAAAAAATGGTGAATTATTAATTACTTCTCTCTGGTCTAGAAAAAGTAGACACTAGGCTTACTATCGTTTTCAAATTCTAGCTCCAAATTTGATCGTTTCTTTTTTATTTTATTTTATATATATATATATATATATATATATATATATATATATATATATATATATTTAAATCCTCACCTGAGGATATTTTTCCATTGATTTTTAGAGAGAGTGGAAGAGAGAGGGGAAGACAGAGAGAAATATTGATGTGAGAGAAACACATTGGTTGCCTCTGGCACTCAACCCGACCAGTGCTCGGGTGGGGGAGGAGCCTGCAACCCAGGTATGTGCCCTTGACCTGGGAAACTTCGGTCCACAGACTGACCCTCTAGCCACTGAGCCAAACCAGCTAGGGCTGATTATCTATTTCTTAACTCTCAGGAATTGTTATTTGAAGAATGAAATGCTGCAACCCTTCCTCTGATTGTTACCAAGCGCTAGAATTGTAACTCTCTAAGAAATGACTTTATTCATTCAACAAACATTTAATCCCTTCTCTGCTGCTTACTAACTAATCACTGTGCTGGGTTATTGAGATTCAAAATGGGTGAGACGCACCCCCTCTGCATATGGAGGAACTCACAGCCCAGGCCCTGCAGAGCGAGTGTGGTTAGGACCCAGGAAGTAGTGTCAGAGGAGAGGACTTACGTGCACCGAGGAGGACCCTGCCCTGGGTGGGCCGCAGGGAGCTTGAAGGAAGAGTCAGGGTTGGCGTCCTGGACCAGGTGATCTTAAACTGAACTTAGAGGATAAACAAAGCTATACTTAAGCTTCCAAAGAGAATCTCTGAATTCACAGAAAGACGAATGTCTTTAGCTTGATATTCAGAGGCCCAGGAATTTTTAATTTTTAATCTCTGAGGTACAGGTGGAAAGTTGTCAAATTTGGTGCCAGGAATGGTTTTTGGAAATCCATTTTTTTAAAATATATTTTTAGTGATTTCAGAGAGGAAGGGAGAGGGAGAGAAAGATAGAAACATCAATGAGAGAGAATCACTGATCAGCTGCTTCCTGCACGCCCCCTTACTGGAGATTGAGCCCACAACCCAGGCATGTGCCCTTGGCCGGAATCGAACCTGGGACCCTACAGTTCACAGGCCGATGTTCCATCCACTGAGTCAAACCGACCAGGGCGGAAATCCATTTTCTAATGCTTGGGGCAGCCATACGTGACCCTGGAACAGGTCACCAGGGTTAGCTACCGCCAGATGCTGTTAATGCTCTCTTCCTTGTGTTGGAGTCATACTTAAACCCCACCTCCAGGCCCCCATCTGGCCACCCCCCTAGGTGGAGGTAGAGATGACCACAGAGCCAGAGGGGGAGGCTGCTGGCGGGGTCGGATGGGCTGGGGTGACCGAGGAACTCAACGCTTGAAGCTTCAGGGGCCAAGACAGCCTCCTTAGTCTCTTAGGAAATGAGCCAGAATTACAGGGGCCATAGAGATAGCCACAAGACCCATATTCTTTGTGCACGTTAGGACACGTTTGCTAAAAACCTTAGCCCGATCTCAGGCTGCATGCAGAGGGCTCATGGGAAGGCGGTAAACTGCCTGGCGTTTCCTGGTTTGGGAGAGAAAAGCCCTTCAACAAGAAGACTTCCTTGGCCCTTGAGGCCGTGGTTGAGCACTCGGTTGACCCAAGAGGAGGCAACAGATAGATTTAGTTTCCTGTAGCAGCAGAAAGGGAGAGTGACTCATGTGGGCCTGGGTTTGGAGTTGTGCCTGTGGGGCATCTCCCCTCCTCCTTTCCCCCCTCTTCCCCTCTCTTCTCCTCCCTTTCTTTCCTTCCTCTCCCCTGCTCCTCCACAGTCACGGTTAGCAGGAGGGTATACGTGCATCTCTGGATTTGTCCCTCCTAGTTCTGAGACAGCCCCTAGCCAAATGTAGGTTGGAAGAAGACAGGCAAGCTTCTCATCAAGGGCATTGCTATTCAGAATTTTCTGGAAGGAACATGGGGAGAGGGTGTTAAAGCAAAACATGCTGGAGAAGAAGAAGACACTGCTGGGCCCGAACCATGTACCTGGAGCCCGAAAGCACATCTTCATGGGCAAACACCCCCATTTCTGAAATTCCACCGTCTCAGCGTGCAACCCACTGTCTTTTTTTAAATGGCTAGATTTATTCACCTCTCTATACATACTCTTTCTGGGATATTTTTAAGTTTAACCAACTTTGCTAAATTCTCGGTATAAATCAGCTTTATAGATGTCTAACCCCAATTGATAACTTTTTTTTCCTTGTAAGCAGGCAGGCAAAATATTGATGAATGTTATTTAAAAATTTCCATAACCAGTGGTGTTAAGTGTTTTCACACAATAGAGGCTCCCCATTTCCTGCTGGGTATGGTGACCTCTCCGAAGAGGTTTATTTATTTAACTTCTATAAATACAACCGCTTCATGCATTGGTCTCTCCTTGAGAAAGGGCTTCTCAAGTTACTGTCATAAACAGAGGCCCAATTGCAGTCCCGGCTGCTGGCCAAGCGCCGGTTATCTACTGAGTGAATCGATTTGCCGCCCGGGAAGGGGCTGTGCACCGTCGCCACCACCCCGGGGAGTCCCCATTCTCAGAAATGGGCTGGAGCCAGGAGTCAGAAAGGAGACTCTCTAAACGACAGGGTGTCCCAAAAAATGTGTACATGCTTTAATAGCTGATGGCTCAGTTTTGAAAAGGAGACGTAGTGTGATAAACACTGACTTTATAATTATTCAAAGTGTAAATATACATTTTTGTGACACCCTATATTTTGTGAACATGGACATGGTTGTACGATGGGATGTCACCTGCTGTAGAAAATTACAGAAGTGGGTGGGAGGCAGGTGGACCTGGGCATTTCTTAAAAGTGAAGAAATATGTATGTTTTTATTGATTTCAGAGGGAGGAAGGGAGAGGGAGAGGGAGAGAGAGAGAAACATCAGTGATGAAAATCATCGACTGGCTGCCGCCTATACACCCCTTACTAGAGACTGAGTCTACAACCCGGGAATCGAACTGTGACTTCCTGGTTCATAGGTCAACACTCAACTACTGAGCTACACCAGCCGGGCCATTTGCTTCCTTAATGAGATTCCAAACCCACCCTCAGGTTGACCCAGTGCTCAGCTGCTGGGCAGGGTACCCTTGCCTTGCTCCCCCCTTTAGGGGCAGCAACGCTACCACCACGTGCCCAGGAGAAGGGCGCACACAGCTTTCCCAGTGCACAGAGGCCAATCGCTCTTTGTCAAGGGCAGTCAGTTGCTGTATCCCCCTCGGATGAGTTCTCCAGGCCTATTTGTAGGATCATGTTCTGCACAATTTGTTTGGGTTTCCTGTTCACCTTCAGGGCCCAGGAGCACGAACCAGAGAAGGTTTCCTGGAGACTCTCGGATGAACTTGAAAGAGCCCAGGCTCTGGAGTCTCCTGAAGGGGTGACCCTGGGCGGCTCTTCTACCATTTCCGAGCTCCAGTCTCCTCATCCACCTGCGTGGTCACGGGGCTGCGGAGAGGCTTGTTACGAGAATATGGCCATAAAAAAGCTTCCAAAAGTGCACAGCTTCCACTGTGCTTTGTCCCTGTTCGTTGCCCTGTTTAAAACGTCCTTGGCATGTTCCTTGCTCGTAAGAAACATTTAGCCCTTAATCTCACCTCTGCCTTATCAGGTAGCAGTTTTCTAAAGATACTCATTCTTAGTAAAAATCTGATCATCTTTCCCAGATACAATGGGTTTCATTTCAGCCACCAGGCACCGTTTCCTTTGGTGGTGGTCTCAGCCCTGCTGTGCACTGGAATCGCCCGGGGGCACTGACAGCCTGTAGATACCTCCCCACCCCCCCACCCCCCCCACCCCCAGCCACCGGCAATTAGAGCAGAACTTCTAGAGGGGAGGCCTGGGCAGCCACGGTTTGGAAACCTCTCCCAGTGAAAGTCAGGAAGGATCAGGAAGAAACCTGCCAGGAGAGAGCGGGCCTGTTCCCCACAAACAGATCCTATTTACCCAGAGGGAAAGGAAATAAATGCAGAAAAGCCTCCTGAGAGGAAGGGACTTCCCTTCTGCATCAGCTGTAGCAGCATCTTCCATCAAAATGTGGCTTTCCTGGTCATTTTAATAACCAGAGAGGCCGTTCTTTTTTTTTTTTTTTTTTGGTCAATTTAGATAAAGCACATCCCTCTTCTTGTCAGTTTTCTTCTTGAAGAAATTTCTGTAGTTTAGGGTCTAAATGGAAGCCCTTTCTTCTCTGTGAATGTGCTATATTGGTAGCCACTGGGCTGGGGATATAAAACAAGGACCACCAGAGCTGACAGATAGACAGGGGTTCAGTTTCCAGGCCAGGGCACAGCAGTGAGGAAATGCTGCAGAGTTGGCTGAGGGGAGACGTTTGTAAGGGCTAGAAGATGGCTCGCCAGGTTAGGGTTAGGGCAGGGGTGGGCAAACTTTTTGACTTGAGGGCCACAATGGGTTCTTAAACTGGACCAAAGGGCCGGAACAAAAGCATGGATGGAGTGTTTGTGTGAACTAATATAAATTTAAAGTAAACATCATTACATAAAAGGGTATGGTCTTTTTTTTTTAAGTTTTATTCATTTCAAACGGGCCGGATGTGGCCTGTGGGCCGTAGTTTGCCCACGGCTGGGTTAGGGCATGAGGAGAGGAAGGAGGGGTGCCCAGGGCTCCTGGAGTAGACAGGTCACCGTGTGCATTGGTCTGGAAAGCAGCTGCAGGCAGGTCTCGGAAGGATATGGATGCTGGAGTCGCTTGGCGTTTATAGCTGTCGAACAGCTTCGGCTGCGTTGGAGCGTTGGGCAGGAATCGTGGGCAAGTCCCACTTGGAGGGAGAATCTAACCTCCCTTTCTTGGTAACTCCCAGGACCCTTCCCTCCCCTGGGAGAGACCCTCCAGGCTGGCGCCTCTCTTTAGACATAGTACGTCCTGTGTACTGAGCTGCACCTATCCATGCAATCAGGTGTCAAATATAAGCTCCCTTCCCACGCGGGTCAAGCAGGGATGGCAGTCTTCCTTCCGAACAAAGATCAAGGGGCAAAGGGGAGAGCTTTCTGCTTTGTTTTATTTTATTTTATCCAGGCTGTGGAAGTCTCATTCTTCTACATCCAGAATTCCAGAAGCTTTACTGTGAGGAAAACAGAACATTACATCTTTTCAACTTCCTTTCCTCCACCCATTGCATTTTTGAAAGTGGGCACCGGCCATAACATGGATCGGCCACACATCCAGAGAGCCCCTTTCCAGAACAGCAGTGCCCTGCGCTCGTGGCTCCAGAGCCCGTCTTCTCCTTCGTCTCCTTCAGTGTGTGTCCGTGTTTGCGTTTCAAGAGCAGACGTTAAACTTTGCTGTTATCTATTTTTTCCATCCTCCAATACTCCATGGATTGAATACAGGTTTTTGGGGTCTTCTGTGTATTTTTAAAAATTGAGGTACAATTGAAATTGGATAGAAATTCAGGTGTGCGACATAATGATTTGACATTTGTATATATAGCAAATGATCTCCACATAGGTCTGGTTAGCTGATGCATCCTTGGGAATTTTTAAGACCTTCTGTCTTAGCAAGTTTCAAATACAATTCAGTATTATTAACTGTAGTTGCCATGCTGTACATTACATCCCCAGGACTTATTTTATAACTGGGAGTTTCATTCAAAGGTACAAACTTCCTCTCGGCCGGCGTGGCTCAGGGGTTGAGCGTTGACTTATGAACCAGGAGGTCAAGGTTTGATTCCCAGTCAGGGCACATACCCGGGTTGCGGGCTTGATCCCCAGTGTGGGGCGTGTAGGAGGCAGCCGACCAATGATTCTCTCTCATCATTGATGTTTCTCTCCCTCTCCCTTCCTCTCTGAAATCAACCTAAAAATATTTTTTAAAAGTTATAAAATTCCACATATTTTTAGCTACTATTTAATTAATTTTTTAAATATTTTATTTTCCCCATCACTATTTATCCCCTCTATACCCTCTTCCACCCCCACCCCTAACCCCTGCCATCACCACGGTGTTGTCCATGTCCTGAGTTCTCTCTCTTTTTATTCTTTTTTGCTCAATCCTCCCTCCCTTCCCCCTCCCCAACCAGAGTTGTCTGCCTATTCTCTATCTATGAGTCTGCCTCTATTTTGCTTGGTAGTTCAGTTTTTTAACTATTCACTGTTATTTTAAAATTTAGGTTCTTTGTTACATAGGGGTGTGTGTGTGTGTGTGTGTGTGTGTGTGTGTGTGTATGATTTTCTGTGGACGCTGGCAGGAAATCTTGTGGGTTTTTTGTTTTTGTTTTCTGCTGTCAAGGGCCCCTCACCCGCATGACAAAATGCGCAGAGCCTGGCATGCAGCAAGCGCCCATCAGTGTTTGGTGAATGGCCACCCTTGGGAAGGGGCCCTCTCCTCCCTCTGCTGTATGCTGCTTTGTCTCTGAGCTCTGATGTGGTTGCTTTATTTTAAAAATTTACTTATCCTTTCAAATATATTTAACAAGTAGTGAGTTTCTACCACAAATCAGACATTAGGGAAACCCAGATAAGAACATTTTCATGTCAGAAATAATTGAGTTTCTCTGTGTCCCTAATTTTGTCTTTTCTTTAATTGGGGTGAAGTTAACCATTTGAAAATGTTCAATTCAGTGGCATTTAGTACATTCATGTGCAACCGTCACCTCCATCTAGTTCTGAAGCATGTTTTTCACCTCCAAGGAGTTCTATCTCCATCAATCAGCCACTCCCCACTCCATCCTTCCCCCCAGCCCCTGGCAACCGCTCATCTGCTTTCTGTCTCTCAGGGATTATTGTTTGCTTTTTGCCTGGTGGGTTTTAAAGGAACAATGGTATCGCACACGAGATGCGTTGCCACTTGCCTAAGGATAAGCATCTAGAGGCAAAGGCCAGCATGCGGGAGCTGCCCAGGTCCGCTGTCCTGTCTGTAGAACGTGCTTCCTGATGCCAAGATGCTTTTCCTAGGATGGTTGGTCCCGACGTGATCCCACTGCCGCATATCTATGGAGCGAGAATCAAAGGTGTGGAGGTGTTCTGTCCTCTGGACCCGCCGCCTCCGTACGAAGCTGTGGTGAACGAGACAGAACGGGAGCAGGTACTGTCCGTGCAGGTTCGCTCTGGTATGTTGACCACAAGTAGGCAAAGCCGCGTTGGGTACAGACAGCCATGGGAGACCGTTTGCTCTGCAGATCCTTTTAAGTTCACGGAGCCCAGATGATGCTTGAGTTGAATATCAACCAATATTCCTCTCTTTTCCTGTGATGCAGACGTCTTCATTCCAAATATCAGAGGGGTCAGAAGCCGCCACCAGCCCGATGGAACCGATCGGCGTGCCGGTGACTCACGGTAATGCACATGGTCACTGCCCGCCCCTGTGAGGCAGTAAGTTAAAACGTGGTAAAATAATGATCTCCGTGGTATTTCGTTGGAGGTCAGATATTCTTGGAGCTACAGCCTATGCAGGTGCAAAACTACTATCAACATTTAGGGCATACAAGTGGGAGATAACATTGAACAGAAATACAGATAATTCTAGAATCTGTTATGAGTTACCAGACTATTCTCAGGGACCTATGACATAGATTAGAGTTTAATTTGGCATTCCTGTATTTTCCAACCTAAGATTTTTTCTTCTGCTGTTAAAATAAGATGAGCTGTTTTGAAGAGAAATAAAAAAAGCATTTCATTTCTTACAAGGGTGATTTGCTGTGAGATCATGCTCAGGCCATGCTGCCTTAACATGCAGGGAATTTTGATTTCCAGTCCTGCATTAAACATTAAAGTCGGTTTGTATTTATCTTTGCCATTTAAGGGGACATTGTTGCAGTTTTCTCTCTTTGGAGAGGTTTTAAGTGTCCCAGAAAATTGCCCACCAGGACAAAATTGCACACGGTGATAAATAAATAATGTTTAGCTATGATAGACAGAGGTGGTTTTTCAGCAGCACCGTTGGAGTTAGGTTTCTGTCCCACTCACCTTCGGTCTTAACGTAGAATTAGACAGTGCACTCTGTTTCCTGAGTATGTTTGTAATTCTTCCATTTCTTTTTTCTTTTTAAAAATCTTTATTGTTGAAAGTATTACATATGTCCCCCATTTTCCTTCATTGACCCCTTCTAGCCCACCCCTGCCCCCCTGCCCCAGGCATTTGCCTCCCTGTTGTCTTATGATATATACATAGAAGCTCTTTGGTTGATCTCTTCCCACCCATCCACCCACCCATCCCTGTCTTCCCTCTGAGATTCCACAGTCTGTACTATGCTTCTATGTCTCTGGGTCTATTTTGTTCTTCAATTTATTTTGTTCATTAGATTCCACACATAACTGAGATCATGTGATACTTGTCTTTCTCTGACTGGCTTATTTCGCTTAGCATAATACTCTCCAGGTCCCTCCATGCTGTCTCAGAGGGTAAGAGATCCTTCTTTTTTACTGCTGCTAGTGTTCCATGGTGTAGATGTACCACAGCTTTTTTATCCACTCATGTACTGATGGGCACTTGGGCTGTTTCCACATCTTAGCTATTGTAAATTGTGCTGCTATGAACATAGGGATGCATACATCCTTTCTGATTGGTATTTTGGGCTTCTTAGGATGTATTCCTAGAAGTAGGCTCACTGGGTCAAATGGCAGTTCCATATTTAATTTTTTGAGGAAATTCCATACTGTTTTCCATAGTGGCTGCACCAGTCTGCATTCCCACCAGCAGTGCACGAGGGTTCCCTTTTCTCCACATCCTCTCCAGCACCTGTCATTTGTTGATTTGTTGATGGTAGCCATTCTGACAGGTGTGAGGTGATAATCTTGTTGTTTTAATTTGTGTTTCACTGATGATCAGTGACTTTGAGCATGTTTTCATATGTCTCTTGGCCATCTGTATGTCCCCTTTGGAGAAGTGTCTATTTAGGTCCTTTGCCCATTTTTTAATTGTTGATTGCTTGTCTTCCTTTTGTTAAGTTGTATGAGTTCCTTATATATTTTGGATATTAACCCTTATCAGATGTATCATTGTCAAATACGTTCTCCCATTCTTTCACTTCTTAAAAACAGTTTCCCAGCCGACAGCTCAGGCTCACAAAGGATGTGAGTTTTACTTCCCCGAGCAGCAGTCACCCAATTCCAGAGTGGTTTCACTGATGCGTTCAGTGGCTACTGGCTCTTTAACTTGGCTCAACAGAAGTTTCATGGCCCAGCCTGCAGACACCCCCTGCCTGCACGTGGTCTGCAGCCCACAAGGCAGCACCTCACCTGGGCAGGTATTTCCCACCCACCAAGCCTGTCCCGAACGGTCAGAAAGCATGAGCCGGCTCGGAGCTCCCCCATGCCGAGGCGATGGTGTGGTAATGCACATTCCCTCTCTCACCGGGATGCTTCACTGGAGAAGACACTAAGCACCTTTAGGAAACACTGACATTTTGGCAGGGCTTCGTTATTTGGAAGTGAAGGTTTTGTTTGTCTAAGGCCTGGAGCGGTGGTTGGGAGAGGCAGCGTTTCTCACAGTGCCGGGAAATAAAAGCTGCTCGGGCCAGCCGCCTAAGCAAATGTTGTCAACTGGATGGCCCAGGCCCCAGCAGGTTTGGGCTCACAGGTGTTTCCTGCCCACATTTTTGAGGGCTGCAGCTGGCAAAATAATTTTTGTTTCTCCTCTTAAAAAAAATACTTAGATGGGAACATTCCTAACACACCTGGGGAAGAAAGCGCATCCACTTCAGTTGCCAACTCAGACCAGCCACATCCCGGGAGAAGCCGGAGAGCCCTCCAGCCCACGATGACAAGGTCGAAGAGCGACCCTGTGTTCCATCCTTCCGCAGAGCGAGGTGAGGCCGTCCCCCAGGCTCCCGCAGAGCACTGGCTTGCCTCCAGGTGCCACGTGAAAGCAGGTGGCTCCGGCCACCCGGGGCCCTGCAGTTCAAGAGATGCCTTGAGAAAATAAGATATTCTATGTGCACATTAGGGATATACATCTGCCCCATCTTTTAAGGCTGGTGGGTGTTTTTATTTTATTTTTGTTTGGTTTTTAAAATATATTTTTATTGATTTGGGAGAGGAAAGGAGAGGGGGGGAGAGAGAGAGAGAGAGAGAGAGAGAGTGTGTGTGAGAGAGAGAGAGAGAGAAACATCAATGATGAGAGAGAATCATTGATTGGCTGCCTCCTGCATACCCCCTACTGGTCATCGAGCCCGCAATCCGGGCATGTACCCTGACTGGGAATCAAACCCTGACCTCCTGGTTCATAGGTTGATGCTCAACCACTGAGCCACTCTGGCGGGCAAGGGTGTTTTTCTTTTTAAGTCATTGTCATCAAAAGCACTTGGTTGCAGACGATGCTGTGATAGGTACTACATGAAGAAAACAACGCAATCTCATTCTGATCTCTACGTGCTTGCGATCGTGTGGGAATACACATTCTCTCTCAAGGAAAAGTCAAAGGGTGGCCTTGGTTTTATCCCCTCTTCTATAATTTAATATCAGTTGTCTTTTTTACTGAGTATGAATGGACTGAATTATTTAAATCCCACCTTGTTTAAGAACTTTGGATAGAGCGAAACGCACACTTCATCCCCCTCCCTCTCTGTTTTGAGTTTGTTTGTGTCTAGATGTTACCTGAATATCTGAATACCTGAACATCTTCAAATATGTCTTCAGTGTAGAAAATTGTAAGAAATAAAGGAACGAAAGGAAGAAAATGAAAACCCTCTGTAATCCTGTGCACACCGGCTTCTCTCAGTGACCTGTTCTCACCAGTGCCCTCGCTCTCCTCCTGCTCTCCCCTTGCCTTCTCTGGGGCCTGGGTCACCCCTTCATTCCAGTTCTGTTCCTCTGACAGCCTGTGTTGTTGGCCCCAGTCTCGACTGACAGTGTGGGAGCCAGAAAGCACTCCTCGCCTCTCGTCTCACCGGTGGTGCTCTTGCATGGGGAGGAGCCCACCACCTCCCCTCTCTTCCTCCCCTCCCCCCTTCCCCCTCCCCCCCCCACCCCTGGGACTGAGTGCCTCTGCCACCCCAGCAAGCGGGCAGCCAGCCCTCCACTCCCAGACCCTTCTTCACTGCTGTCTCTGCCCTACCTGGCAAGCTGAGGGCTCGAGCTGGCCACCTGCGGGCTTCAACGGGAACGTTGCTGTCTGCACAGCTCAGCGAGGTCTTTCCAGAACCCCTTCCCATGCTGCAGCGCTGCAGGAGGAGGGTGGCCCGTGCTTACCTGTTGAGCCCTCCATTGTGGAAGGGACCAGGTTGCCTTCAAGGGACTGGTGAGGCCCCTGTCCTCACACCTGGGTGTCTGTAGGGAGTGCTCCTGGGAGGTCCTGGCTCTGTGACATGCCTGTGGCAGCCCAGGAGGACCGCTGCTCACCGCTGTTTGCAGATCCTCATGCCTACGTTCTCCAGAGGAAAAGGGTGCTCCCCTCCCTCCACCTGCTCTTCCACCCTCTGCTTCCTTTCCTCATTGACTATCTCAGATCCTGCTTGTCAGGCCTTCGCAGACTGAAATCTCCAGGGCCGCGTGCACTGAAGGCTGCTGGCTGGCTTCCGAACACGCGGGAGCCAGGCCTGCCTCCCACTTCACCCGCCTGAGGCGCAGCCGTGTCCTGCACCCTTACACGCTCGCTAAAGCAGGTCGTTGTGGACGTGAGAGCCTGCGGTGGGTTTCCCAGGCCCACTGCTGACTTCTGGAATGACCTAGTGTTCCTGCACTTAGATTTCTCTTTCTGTAATCGTCAGCCGTAGCGCTGCCTACAGCCCCGGTGCGAGCACTGATAGCATGTCAGTGCAGTGCCCTCGCGGATGATTAGGACAAAGGTACAGTCCAAGTGCACAGAGCCTTCCCCTCATCCCACCGGTCCTGTCTTTCCTTAGCCCCTGCCTCTCAGCGGCTCCTTCATCCTCCCCCTTGAACGTTTCTCCATCAGCCAGCCACGCTTTGTCTGCTTGCCCACCCGTCCGCAGACATGGCCATCACCCCATGACACCGCTGCTCCGCTGTGGTTTGTATGCGGGGTGCCCTTCCCCATCATCTGTCTTTACTGTGGGGGCCGTGTTTTCCGTGGCACCATAAAATGTGCTGGGGACATATCCTGTTGGCACTACATCAGGAAATAAGCTCATGTCATAGCTGTTGGTTTTGTGTGTTTTTTTCCTTTGGCAACATGAGAAGCGAGGCGCGCATGGCTGTTGGCATTCGTCCTGTGCTTCCCGCGCCGAGTGCAGCGTCCGTGCTGTTTCACACGCGGCGCGTGCTCGCGGGGCCACGGCCAATGGGTCCGCGCTGTTTGTCTGCCCGCAGCCGCTCCCGTGCTCAGCTGCGAAGCTGCCACGCAGACGGAGGGGAGACCGGATCTGGCGGCGGTGACCCTGAGGCGGGGTTTGCGACCCAGAGCTGCCAGGTGCAGGCCGCAGTCTCTGATAGACTACAAGTCGTACATCGACACCAAGCTGCTGGTGGCCAGGTTCCTGGAGCAGTCCTCCTGCGCCATGACGCCCGACATCCACGAACTGGTGGAAAACATCAAGTCGGTTCTGAAGTCCGACGAGGAGCACATGGAGGAGGCCATCACGAGTGCCAGCTTCCTAGAACAGGTAGCTTTAATTTTATTATCCGGTGTGAGTCAGATCCCTGTTTCCACAGCAGCCCAAATGCCTCTCCGAGTTCCTGTCTCGGGCGCCATAAGTTCCTGGTCGCTGTGTGAGGGGAAATGTGGTTCGGAGGCTGTGGGGGTGGAAGGGGGGTGGGGTGGGGAGTAGACAGGAAGCCCAGCACTTTCTTTTCGGGCATAGTGACTTTCCCCAGCCTTCTTGGCCCAGAGGAAAAGGAACCCGTTTTTTCCGGGCTGTGGATGCCTGGAAAAAGCGAAGGGTGCAGCTTGGGGCTAAAAGCAGGGGCCTGGGCAGTGGGGGTCACATGCAGCATCTGGCTCCCTATGTTGAAAGTGTCCCTGGATGTGGCATGTTTTCTCAGCCCTTTGACAATGACGGACACGCCTGAATTTTAATATGGGCAAGATTCTGGGAACTGTTCACATTCCCGTGAAATGCTTGGCAAGATATCTAAGCTGATAGGCCTGCATGGAACACACACCCTTTCTTTCCAGGTTAAATCGTACAACGCGATCCCCTGAGTGGAAGCCACAGGGGAAAAGATACAAGTGGGCGCGTGAAGGATCCTCTTAGACGTCAGGTCTCTCACGTGAAAGTGGAGGGCTGCATGAGGTGGTCCTGCACCTGTGTTTCTGAATGAAGGGACTTTCCTTCTGATAAGAACTGGGGATGGGCCACATCTTCGATTACCCACCTCTTTTTAAAAGCGGTCACCTTGGGGGCGTTGACTGCACTGCTCCAGGGGCGTGGGGTGGTGGCGAAGGCCGCGGTGCTACCTGGCTGCGTGCAGCCAGTGCCCAGCAGACACTTCCTGAGTTGAGATGGGCTGATTCTCAGGTCGCTACCAGCACCGGGATCCTGGGTAAAATTTCAAGGCAGTTTGACCCGATCCCCTTCTCACTGTCCTTTCTGTTCCCCTTTCTACCTCCCAGTCGCTTCTAACAGAAGCCACAGTCAGAGTCTCTCCCAGCCCCTAGGGGAGCCCGAGAGCAGTCCGATTCCTCTTACGAAGAGGTGCACGGGCCATGGACCCTCTTGTCTGCTTTCTGAAAGAGTGGTTGGCCCATGGCCCTGGGTCAGGCTCTAGGTAGTATCCCACGTAGGGGAGACATTTACGTCCGGGAGTCCCTGGTCTGTGCAAAACGTCACTTCCTGCCTCCTTTCCCCTGTGCAGCCTCAGTAGCCACTAAACAGGAGCGAGCATTTGGCGTCACTGAAAGGCTGCCGAGCTCTGGTGAGGTAAGAGCCAGAGCATCTGCCATGCAGGGGGTCTGGACCTTCTGCCAAGCCCTGCTCGCTGGGACATCACTGTGGGTAGAAGACAACAGGTGCTGTCGCCACCAGCATTCACTGGGCCTGGATCGCAGTTCAGGTGCTGGGACTGGTGCAGTAGACCTGGGCCATCTGCTGGAGCCTCCCAGCGTTTGCACATTCTCACTTTCTCTACATTATTAGGATGCATTTGTAGATCCTCTTCAAGTTTCACCAATTCAAAACCACTTCTCCTAACTTACACGTAACAACAGTCGATAGCTATGAATGTGGGAATTTTCTTCTTACTCAGGAAACAAGGACAGGCCCTAAAGACAGACAGAATCATGGAGTGTTAGCAAATCTGACATCTCATCTCTTGGAGGGTTAACTTTTTAGTGACCTTAACGTCTCACAATGGGCCCTGACTAGATGGCTCAGTTGGTTGGAACACTGTTCCCTGCACCAGAAGGCTGTGGGTTTGATCCCCAGTCAGGGCATATACCTAGGTTGTGGGTTCAATCCTCGTACGGAAGGCAACCAATCGATGTTCTCTCTCACCCGTCTCTCTCAAAATCAGTTTAAAAAATCATGTCCGTGGGTGAGGATAAGAAACAATTCTGAATGGTGCAAACTAAACAAAACATCATCCCAACGATTGCTCTATGATGTAGATGCTAACCAAGCACCGGGCTTCTCCCAGGCCGCTGACAGTGTTGTAGGTCATAGACGGGCTGTGCAGTGTAACAGACTTCTGTGCACTGGGCAGCTCTCCCCTCATCCATCCCAGTTGGGTGAGGGATTTATCATGCTTTTGTCATTTTTACAAAATAAGTCATATTATGTTGTCCTTAACGTTATGTATGTGGCACATGGCCAAAAATAGATCTAGCAGTAGAACCATTCTTAGGAGTTTTTACAAATAAACTGGATTAGTTGTTATGTTGTTTATTGAAGGGCTATTTGATCGGTTAGAAGCATCACTGGTTTTGGTTGACATTTTATAAACTCATTACCTGGTCACAATGCCAAATAACAGGTACCAAATGTTTGAGTACGTTAGTATGGCCTGGGTTCTGGTTGCAAGTACAGGTGTTGCGCCCCACTCCTCACTCACATGTGCGGGGAGCTGGGAACCCGCGTCTCTGACAGGCTCCCGTCCCTTCTTGTGAGGCCACAGTGAAACTGGGGAAAGTGATGAGCAATGTTCAGGATAAAGCAGGACATTGCAATAGATGAGTCAGGGAAGTGAGGCAGGGCTACCTGTGAAACCACAGGACATCTGAGGAATGTGTTAGAAACTTGAGAAAAGAGGCACTCTGTTAAGTCTCTGGAATTCCATGTGGGTTCCACTTTGGGAGAACGCCCTCTTTTCTTCCTCAAGGCAACTAAGCATCACAGGGATGGACGTAGGAGGCAGACCCAGGACCTCCGGTGAAGCTTAACCTCTCCCCACCCTCTTCCTTCTCTCAAAGATAATGGCCCCCTTGCAGCCCAGCCCGCCCAGGGCCCACCTGCCGCCCTCGCGGAGACAGCCCGGCGTGCTGCACCTGTGGAGCTGCGGGGACCTGAGCACCTTCGTGGCGGCCGGGAGGCCGAGAGTGGAGAGGAGGCCCCGGCGGGCAGCTGAGCGGCCACACAGCCTCATCGGTGTCATTCGCGAGACTGTCCTGTGAACCTCAGGAGCAGGAAGGAAAGATCCCCACCTCACCATGCAGTGTCCAGGGTGGGGGTAGGGGTCCCCCTCTAGGAACTGCTCTAAAAGGGGGGCCCTTCAGAGGACCTCACTCTATGGCTCACCTTTCTGCTGGCCTAGGGTTCTTCCGGGCTCATTTGGGTTTGGATGCATCAGGTTGGAGGCTGTGAAGGCAGCATCCCTCTCCCCCTCTGCTGGCCCCGCCCCGGAGTGGGTTAATGAATCTTGGCCCACACACCACCTTGTGGCTCTCTTCCTCGTCCAGCCCTGTCACTGGGGGCAGGTCTGCTGGGCTGCTGTTGATAGACGCTGCGGCCACGCGCTGCTCCGTGAGAGAGGAATTGGCATGCCACCCAGTGGGATCGGCCGCAACCCAGGCATGTGCGCTGACTGGGAATCGAACCGTGACCTCCTGGTTCGTAGGCCGACGCTCAACCACTGAGCCACGCCAGCCGGGCTGGTGTAAAGCACGGATGATCAACCCCATGCTCTAATCATCAAGTCCCTGCATAGATTGCCCTGCAATCGCTCTCTTTAGGAAAAACAGGGAACTTTTTCACTGACAAATCGTAATGAAAGACATTCAGGGGGAGTATTCTTGTTGATTCCATTTACTCATGCTTGCAAAACTAGAGATGGCTAAGGCAGAACTGAGAATAAAATGTTTACTTTGGACCTCTGGCCTCAGTGTACGACGTTTGTGTACGCGGACGGGGCCACACCTTACCTCACGGAGATGCTGGAACTTGGAGCAGTGGTGGTCAGGTTCGGGCAGGCCAACAGGCCAGTTTCATCTCCAAAGCACCTGATCCCCGTGCATAACAATGTGTCCTTTATGCATTCAGCAGGCGCCTGGCCAAAAGGCTTCGTGGAGCTGCCTTGTAGTGGGACTGTGAGCAATAAATCAGTGAAGTGATTACAGATTGGGCATTAGTGCTAAAAAGGAAGGAGGCGGTTGGAGAAGGCTTCTTTGCAGAAATGACATTTAAACTGGACTTGACTGTGAGGGGCAGGGAAGGGTGTTCCAGGCAGAGGGAACAGCCAAGGCAAAGGCCTCCAGCACCAGAGGCTGCTGTGGAAGCAGCCCTGAGTGAGGGGAGAGGTAGGGGGAGCTCAGGCTGGGCTTGATGCTAACTGTGAGGCTCCATGGGAGAGTTTTCAACAGGAGTAACAGATTTCATTTGCATCTCAAGAGATCACCATGCATAGTGGAGGCTGGATTAGGTCAGGATATGGAGTAAAGGAGGTGAGGAGCTGAACAAGGATGCCTGTGCTCCAGGTCCTGTGCTGGAGATTTTACACAGTCTCATTTCACCCTCACAACAGCCTGAAGGGGGGAGCTGTGAGTGTCCGCATTTCACAGACAAGGAAAATGAGGCTCAGTGACTTGCCCAAGGTCACTCAGAAGGTCTGTGGCAGTGATGCCCTTCACACCCCAGGAGCCCATCTCCAGAAACCACTCTGGTTCCCGGCTCCCAAACAGTAGCTGTTTGCCATTTCTTGTTTCTCTGAGAGAGTGGTTGTGAAGACTTCGAGCTTGGCTCATGGAAGCACAGACATCCTGGGCTCCAAGCCCACGAACTTTGCAGAGTGGGAACTGGCATGAGGTCAGGGGACTGAGAAATGAGAAGGGAAGGATTGTTTGGAGGTACTGAACTGGGGCGGAAAGTGGATTGTGGAGGCAGGTGTGCAAATGAGGGGGACTGGGGGCCTGCAAACCACCCACGGTCTGCCCACCGCCCTGGCTGAGCTGTGTTTGTGGAGGTTCCCAGGGGTTTCCCAGAACGACAGTCTCTGTGCTCACCCCTCACCCTCACATACTGAATTCCCCACGTAAGCGAACAGTCTCTCCATTTCTTTAGAAGTCCCCACTGTTAGCACCATGGCTGCCCACTGCGGGCTGGCCCACTCCCTGAGGTAAGCCCCCACCTCTCTGAGGGTCTCCATGTCTCACCCAGGCTCTCTGACACCCAGAGACCACCCACATAGCCAGGCTGGTTGCTTTTCTCCGTTATGGCTGCTTCGTTGCCCCCGACCTAGTGTCTCAGGGTCAAGCCAGGAATTCTCAGCCCACCAATTTGTTCCTCTCCCGAGGCTGAGAGACAAGGCCTGGCCTTCCTCCACCCAGGCCGGGTCTTTCCGGGCTTCTGTTTTTTTCTTACTGCAGGAGGACATTTTCCCAGCTGCATCTCTTTCCACCTTCCCTCTGAGCTTCTATAGCTCACCTCCAGCTGCCACACAGACCTCGCCACCTTCTGTGAAGGCTCAGGGAAGACAGGTGGATGCCTGTCATGGAGGTGGTCTCAGCCATCACGAGAAAAGGGAAATTTCCAGCAACAACCAGAAGAGGAAAGAACATAAAGGCTGAGCCATAGCAGGAGGATTTGAAGATTCGACCTCACAGCCAGGGAAATGGTCCATGTCATTCCAGCCTCTGAAGGTATTGGTGAAGTTAGAAAACTGACTTCTGTCTTGCTTCTCAGACTTTAAGGAATATTAAAATTAAAAATATTATCTAATAATAGACAAAGATGCAAATTGACCATACCTTTGCTACGCCCACCATCGGCTAATCAGAGTGATATGCAAATTAACCGCCAACAAAGATGGCAGTTAATTTGCATACATAGGCATGAAGTGGCAGAGCGAAGACTGAAGGCGGCTCTGGTGGAGCAGCGAAGGCTTGAAGGCGGCTCCGGCCGGAGCGAAGGCCTGGGTCCCGGGTGCCGGTGGAAAACTGGTGCCGGCAGCCAGGGGAAGGGAAGGCCTATTGCACGAATCTTTTCATGCAACAGGCCTCTAGTGTGTGTGTGTGTGTGTGTGTGTGTGTGTGTGTGTGTATGACAATATATTATAACTAGAGGCCTGGTGCATGGATTCGTGCACTGATGGGGTCCCTCAGCCTGGTCTGTGCCCTCTCGCAATCCGGGACCCCTTGGGGGATGTCGAAGAACTGGTTTCTGCCTGATCCCCACAGGCCAGGCCGAGGGACCCCACTGGTATACGAATCTGTGCACCAGTCCTCTGGTATGCATGTAAGATCTTTGGTTAATCTCTTCCCACCCTCCCCCATCCCCCTTCCCTCTGAGACTCATCAGTCTGTTCCATGTTTCCATGCCTGTGGTTTCCACTCCTGCATTGAGCACCTGCCCTCTGGTGGCCAGTGCGCATCATGGCTATCGGCCAGATACCATCACATTGGGGATTAGGGCTTTAATATATGGATTGTAAGGGGATATAAACATTCGGTGCATAGCACTGATTTACCAGGAAAATGAAATATTAGTAATAATATTAGTAATACTATTTATTAAAGAGATTTTATTTTTAGAGCAGTTTTAAGTTCACAGCAAAACAAAGCATAGAGGTTTCCCATGTACCCCCCCACACATGCACGGTCTCCCCAACGATCAACATCCCCCACCACAGTGGTACATTAGTTACTATTGCTAAACCGCATTGACATGTCAATGTCACTGAAAGTTTACATTAGGGTTCACTCTGGGTGCCGCACATTCTAGAGGTTCGGACAAATGTATACTACGTGTCCATCCTTGTAGTATCATGCAGAGTAGTTCTCTGCCCCCCAAGTCCTCTGTGCTCCACCTATTCCTCCCTCCCTTCCCCCTCGCTCTTGGCAACCACTGGACTTGTTGCTGCCTCCATGGGATTGCACTTACCAGAATGCCACGTAGCAGTGAGCATCATGCAGCACGTACCCTTTCCAGCTTGGCTTCTTTCACTGAGTAATGTGTACGCACTTAAGTTTCCTCCAGGTCTTTTCATGACTTGATCGTTCATTCAAACCCCTTTAAAAATTATTGGATTCAACAGGCGTAATGGTACTCTGTCAAGTTACTGTGGCAGAGCCCCGTCCTAATCTGAACTTGGCCTTGGCCAGGTCTGGGACCCACACTCCGAGTGCCGATGGTCGGGGACCTACTCTGGCCTGAGCGTCCCAGTTTCACCGGAGCCCGTTGTGTGTGCGAGGCCTGGCGACAGGGAGAAGAGGACTGGGAGAGGGAGGAGGGACAGGCAGACAGACATGCTTTCCTCTGCACCCATGGCTCCCCTCACAGGCTTTTTCTGGCGAGTCCCTTGGGATGAGGAGAATGGCCAGGGGAAGAGGCACCTGCACCTCCACCCAGCAGAGAGGAAATCAGGAAGCAGAACAAAGGAGCACATGGCCACCTCCCCCAGGCGGCAGGATGCAGGACAGAACAATGAGGGGGACGGGGAGGCAAGGGGCCTGGACAAGGGCATCTTTGTTTACCAGGTTCTCCTCCCTGGGGCCTCCGCCAGGGAAGCCAGGTCTGGGGCCAAAGGCACCACAACCCTTCCAGCTCCGTCTCTGCAGGAACCTTCACTCATTCAGAATGAGTCATCGTTCCTCTCTTGCAGGGTGGCTGTAGGTCCCAGGTGTGGGCAGGCTTTTCCAGCATCTTCAGATACTGTGCATAAATTCTGGTCCCAAAGGAGCATTTCATGATGGGGTGGAGAGACATGCCAGGCAGGAAAGGACGAGCAAAGAGAGTTGCTGGCAGTCGCTTGCTCTGGGAGGAGCTCTCTCTCCCACTGCACCGTATCTGCTTGGTGGAGGTTTTCAACAATAATCCTAAAGCTCAGAGGCCTGTCTCCTTGTTTTGTAGATGAGGAGCTCAGTGTCCAGAGAGGTAGACCAACTTGCCTGTGGTCGCACAACCTGCAAATGTCAGCATGCTCGAACTTCACCTATGTCTTCTGCCGTCAG